TCCTGCTAGGGATTCTGAGGCTTTCGCAGACCTTCTATGGATACACCTGCTCCATGTTTCTTGCTCCCCCTTGTGGCAGAATTCTTAAGCTTGTATGTCTTCTCTTGATCCTGGAGCATACCAGAGCAAGGGTTGACAGTCTTCCTTTTGTTTTCCCAAAGGTGGATTAAAGCTCAAGTTTGTGGTCTCTCCCTGAACCACAGATTTGGGCTGCCACAGGTTTTCTGTGTGTGCTCACCATCTGCCAAAGCTTGCTCTCACCATTGCCATTTGGAGGATGCACAGGGAGCTGTCCACAGGGTGTGAGTGTGTGTGGGTAAGGCACAAAAGCACTGGGGGTGGGGGTGGTCTACCCATGGGACGGTTGGGAAAATCTGTGGGTGAGGTGTCCCTAGTGATTTGTGCACAGGCTTCTTGATGGAGTCTATGACATAGTAGAATCTGCATCCCTTTAATGCCCTCTGAGAGTCCTATCTGTCAGTCTTCTAGTCTCTTCTTGCTCCCCAAGTCAAGCAGCTCATGATTCAGTGATAAATGATAAATGGGGTAAGAGAGAAATGGGCCTTTCTGGCAGCAACCCACAAAATTAGGAAAGTTGAGTGCTCACTCACACACTCTCACTTTTTCCCATGTGAGAAATCACAGCCAAGAGGATATCTCTTGGCCTTAGGCTGTGCCACTTTGGGGGACTCAAACTGTTCTTGCCCTCTCCAGTGTGTCCACACTCGTGTGTGTGTGTGTGTGTGTGTGTGTGTGTGTGTGTGTGTGTGTGTTTTCCTGTAATGCTGGAACTTCTCTACTGGAAACCTGAACTTCTACAAAGGCCCTCTTGTCCATAGGTGATTGTGAGGTGTTCTCCAGGGGTTCCCAGACTGTAGCCATAAGGCACCAGAGTTGTTTCACAGGCCACTATGGGGCCCAAAGCCAGAACTGAGGTCTGTATGCCTGTTCCCTGATGAACAGTTGGGTGAGACGCCCCTCAGTTTCCTTGGTGAATGGCGCTGCTCCCACAGTTCCCCACAAAGGTACTTTTGTCTGCAGATGGATGTCTAATTGCTGTTGTTAAGAGGAGGTAGAAATACAATTGACTAATGCCTTATTAAGCTGTCCCTGTGTTAAAAAGTTTGGGGACCATGCATATGTTTTTATCATCCCTATATTTAATAATGCTGAGAATAAGAATAAAAATGCCTTAGCTACTTGCTCCAGGAAATGCTTTCTCCTGAAAGAAAAGACTTTGAACCAGTTACAGGTAGCTTGCTCATCAAAACTCCCTTCAAGACCCTTGCTTCACTGCGCCCACCAATCCAATTAAACACTGCCCAGTCCCAGATAATTCCCTGCCTTGCATAGCCTGACTCAAAATCATCCAATTTAGGCCCTAAATCCCTACAAATATCATCCCTGAATTTACCCATTATGAGAAACTACTAAAGTTCTTTTATTTATTTATTTATTTATTTAATCTTTTTTTAACTTTATTTATTTATTTGAGAGAATGAGAGAGAGAGAGAGAGCATGAGAGGGGGTTGGGTCAGAGGGAGAAGCAGACTCCCTGCTGAGCAGGGAGCCCGATGCGGGACTCGATCCTGGGACTCCAGGATCATGACCTTAGCCGAAGGCAGTCGCTTAACCAACTGAGCCACCCAGGCGCCCACTAAAGTTCTTTTAAATTGATATTCTTACTTAGCTTTACTTGGTCAACTGGTTATTCTGGTGGCCTTTTAGGGAAGCTGACAACTAAGAATGAGAAAGTGTATACTCTGAAGAACCTTGTTCTACAGTGAGTTGACAAAATGAGAATGTTGTCATTTCAGAAAAAGCTGAGCTATTAGTTTAGCCACCAACAGCATGGAAAGTCAAATTCCTCCAACAGAATCATAAATTTCAGGATTCAAAAAGACTCGAAATTTATCTAGTCCAATCCATCTGCTTGATACAGATGGAGAAGAAGCTCAAATCTGGGCTCAAATTCGAGTAAATTAATTTAGAGACTCCTTCAGTGCAACCAAGGGTTTTGGGATTCCTCTCTACTCCCTTATCTCCCCACTTCGTTCTCTTCCTTTCCCTAGCCTTGGCATACCTTGTCCCTGTTCTTCCTCTTTGCAGACAACTAGAGGAAGTATCAGTCCTCCATCATGTTTTGGTGGAGGGTGTCTGTGTTGCTACAGGGTTTCAGGGCTGGGTGTTTTCAACAAAAATATATTTTTAAAAAACCTCCCATTCCAGGAAGCTAACATGTGGTTTCTATATCTGAAAGGTCTCATTAAAATATAATATTGTCATATCCACACCCCTAGTTTTGAAGCTGAAGGGAAATGAGGGTTAAATTTTTGGGGTATAATCTCATGGATAATGGAAAAAACCTTCTAGCAGTATAGGCCTTCCTATCCATTTCACCCTGATAATTCTAGAAGGACTGAGGGAAAAAAGTATTTTATTTTATCTTTACTAGAAAAATAACTAGGTGGGAAGGTTCTGGATTAGAGGTTTTTTCGAACATCTGTCTTTTAGCTAATTTATCCTTTACAAAATGTGATTACCAGATCCTTAGTATATGTTAATTACTTGAAATGTCAGTGACTTGAAATGAAAAATATATTTGATAGTAATTTTAGTAACAACTGACAAGTTGTTATTCACATATTAGTGAGGAAAAAATCTATGTATGCACATGTGACAAAGATTATTGGAAATATTTTTATAAATAAGAGTGAAAAGAAGTTGCACATGACTCTGAAGAGTTTCCCACTGGACTCTTACTGTGTGAAGATCAAGTGTTACACAAGGCTGATGTGTAAAGAGCTCATGACCTTTCATGAGTCTCAGGCTTTCTTCCTTTTCTTTTTTTACCCCGCTGTTGACTACTTGCTTCTCCCACATCACAGATAATTAACAACAGATGATTTCTTGTATAGCTTTTATTTTTATGTTGGTTTAAGTATTGCTATATCCCATATTATTTTCAACTGTAGAGTTTAACAATCCACCCCTGGACAGTTTTTACATGTTAATAAGTCTGTATATGCATATGTGATGGTCAGAGCATGTCTTTGTAGTAATACAATGCACTCTTTATGATACTGCACTGAGTTCAGATTTTTTTTCTAAACTGCAACAAAATGTGAACCTTCTAAATTCATGTTAGAAATACAGATACAGTCCATAGACCTTTCTTTTTAACAGGACCCACACATAGTACAGCCTATGGACATTCCTTTTTAATGGACTGAGACACCAACTACACCAACTACACCACACAAACTACAAACTACACCAACACTGTGTTCCTGAGTTTTCTTTATCTTGTAAAAAAATAATTTGTGTTTCACGTGGAAAAAAATATCAGACTTTCAGGTATTTTTTTTGTTAGTCTAACTCTCAACACATTAAAGGACGAGATGATTTATAAAAACACAGATGATGTGAGAAGGGAAAGGTAAGAGCTCCAAATACATTTTGCACATGATTCTACACAGTTTAAAGACACATTACATATTCAGCTCTGAGGTCCTCAAAGTAAAAATTTTTGCCATTTTACTTATAACTCTACTACTAAGTGATCAATTTTAAGAAAATATTCAAAGACCATTCATAAAAAATATTCAAATTTTCTACTAATAAATTTTAAATATACATTAGCAAAAAAGTTTATTATTTTCCTTATGGACATTCATTAAAAATCCTGTCAGAATCATGAGCACCCCTGTGAAGTACAATTACATTTGTTCCCTTCCTCCTCCTTTCCACAAACATCTCCAGTCTCTCAGTATTTATATATGAATTCTAAAACATTGACAATAAAGCAACCTTCCCTCTTATGACTTTGGCAAGTGACTCCAAATCAAAAGAAATATTACCGATAATGTTAAATTTATTTTTGAATGTATCTGTTCCACAAGACTCTGATTTAAAAAATGCATAGTGATCAAACATGTTATTGCTCTGTATTTGGGCTTAAGAAAGTATATCAGAAAAATCAGTAAATAAAGGATTTTAAAATAGAATGTGCATGGTCATGCAATCTTACATGTTTGGAGAAAACCTTCTAAAGTAATTTAATGCAGAACCAACTGTAGAAATTTCAAATAACTATTCTCAAATATGAGGAACATTATCATGGCATCCTTTCTTTTTGTCCTCTGTTGACTTTTCTGCCTCTTACCACCCTTGCCCCAAACCATAATTGTGATTATCCTTAGAAGACCAGAATAGACTTTTATTTTCTTCAGGAGCTACACAGTTCTCCTGGGTAAACAGGAGGATGTAAGTGTATTGGCTGTGAAACCAGACTACCAAGGATAGAATCCAAGTGCCATCACTTAGCAAGTTACCTTTCCTGTGCCTCAGTTTACTTACCTTAAAATAGACATAGATATATGTATATATACATATATATTTTTCTATCCAGAGTTGTGTCCACTTCTGTTTGGAGACCATGGTATTAGATCCCTTTGGGGTTCATCTGAGGCCCCAGTGAGGGCTGGGCCAGCATGGGTTATGCAGAGAGGGTAAGGGAGTAGAAGTGTACAGAACTCTGGGCCCCTCACCCCTGCTGCAATGAAAGAGCTCCAATTTCATTTATATTACATTTTACATATTAACCTTTCTGACAAATTTTCTTTGGAACAAAGAATTACACAGCTAAAACATGTTTGAAACTTTCCTCTGGAGAAGGCTAGAAGCCCATGATCCACAGTCTGACAAATGCTTAAAACTGAACCCTGAACAGTAATAGTCTTTTACTAAGGAGCTACATATGCCAGTTCCTGGGTTTTATGTTTTTTAAAATTTTCTTGCATGCAAAATCACAGCCTTAGACCTAAAAGAGAAAATACTTTAGCCAAACATGCTGTGAAAGTTTTGAATATAATTAAATGCTAAGTAAAAAACATTGGTTAAAAAATGCACTAAACTTTTTTCTTGACTGTGACATTTAGTAAAAAGTTTTGAACATTTTAGAAAAAGATAACATTAAAGCAAAGCTTAAAAAAGGATATGGTTCTTGCGATATTTCAGTAAGTTTAATCTTGGTTTGTCTAGGGGCTTTGGAAATACCAGCTAACTCATGCATCTTAAGGTAATATAAAATCAGTGGACTCTGACGTCCAAAATTGAAGAGCACACGGTTAAACTCTGGACCAGTGCTAATATAATGGGACTGTAAAGGGAAGAAAAAAATCAAGTCAATTATTACTTTTATGTGTTTTTAAAGAACTGTAAATAAATATAATTTCATTGTAACTATAAATAGAGTTACTATTCGGCATATTAAAATAAAAAGAAACTCTGTAAAGCAACTTTTTAAAAAAAGATTATTATTTATTTTAGAGAAAGAGTGAGTGAGCACAAGCGGGAGGGGCAGAGAGAGAGAGGGAGAGAGAATCTCAAGCAGGCTCCCTGTTGAGTGGGGATCCCCATGTGGGGCTCCATCTCAGGACCCTGAGATCATGACCTGAGCCGAAATCAAGAGTCAGATGCTTAACTGACTATACCACCCAGGCACTCCAAGCATCTTCTTAATTAAAGAAATTTACTATAGTATGAATCTATGGGTTCATGCAGTAAGACCCTTCTAGCCTTCTTATTTATCAGCTTGATAAAGGTTAATAGAGATTATTCTGTCTGAAGAACAGAAATAAGAAAGAAGAAAATGAACAGAACTCCAGAAAAAGGGACAGGAAAAAATGTGAAGAAAAACATGAAAAAAGAAACCTCCAAACATTTGTGGAAAACATATCCAAGAAACTTAACTTTAAGTAGGAAAAATACTCACCTAGACACATCATATTCAAAGCGTTGAAAGACCAAAACAAAAAGAAAAATCTCAAAAGCAGCAAGAGAAAAACAACATCTAACAGAACCCCAATAAGATTAAAAGATGAATTTTTATCAGAACAAAGGAAGCCAGAAGGCAGGTGGATAATGTAACCAAAGTGCTGATGGAAAAAACTGTTGACCATGAATTCTCTGTCAGGGAAAGTGACCATAAATATAATTGCTTATTACTGGCTTCTTGTGGGATACAAGGTCAGTATAGCAACTATGCATATTATGTCTTTCCTCCATTTTTGTAATGCGTAGATGAGAGATTTATTATTTCCACTTCCAGTGAGGAAGTAAGATTTTATTCTCTTTTGCTTTTACTAATACATGAAAGTTCTCTTGTGTTTCTTTTGCTTATGGTCACTTTTTCATGGCTTTCCTTCAGAGATGCTCCATAATTATTTTGAACAGTAGGACTAGCATAATCAAAAGCAATTCTTTGATGGTGAAAACTCAATGTCAAAATCAGACATATTTCCTATTATGTAAATAATTTACTCCATCTCCATCTCCCATGAAAATTCACATTAGGTTATATCTAGCCTGATCTTCTTTTTTTTTTTTAAGATTTTATTTATTTATTTTTTTGAAATCTTTTTTTTTTAAGATTTTATTTATTTATTTGACAGAGAGAGAATGAGAGATAGAGAGCACGAGAGGGAAGAGGGTCAGAGGGAGAAGCAGACTCCCCGCCGAGCAGGGAGCCCGATGTGGGACTCGATCCCGGGACTCCAGGATCATGACCTGAGCTGAAAGCAGTCACTTAACCAACTGAGCCACCCAGGTGCCCTAGCCTGATCTTCTTAAAAAATTTTTTTATTTAAATTCAATTTAATTAACATATACTGTATTATTAGTTTCAGAGGTAGAATTTAGTGATTCATCAGTTGCATACAACACCCAGTGCTCATTATATCACATGCCCTCCTAATGCCCATCACCTAGTAACCCCATCACCCCACCCACTTCCCCTCCAGCAACCCTCAGTTTATTTCCTATAGTTAAGAGTCTTATGATTTGCCTTCCTCTCTGTTTTCCTCTTATTTTATTTTTCCTTCTCTTTCCCTATGTTCATATGTTTTGTTTCTTAAATTCCACATATGACATCAGATGATATTGTCTTTCTCTGATCGACTTATTTCACAGCATAATACACTCTAGCTCGATCCACGTCATTGCAAATGGCAAGATTTCATTCTTTTTGATGGCTGAGTAATCTTTAAATTGCATGCAAAATCAGACCAAGCTTTGTCTAGATTAAAAGGAAATGCTGGCTGTCTAGAAAGATGTTTTATGACCCTTTTTCTGGCTTCTGCCTTGGATATTGTAATAGAACCTAGATCTTACTGAAATTCTAGAAATAGACATTTCTGTTATTTTTCTGCAGTTATCCATTTTTAAAATAGGAAAACCACAGTTAATACCTGCTTCTTCCTCTCTAATGGCCCCTGATTTTTTAAGGGTAGTTCAACCTGACAAGAGCAGACCTAGGTATTAAATGCATATCCAGTGTTTTGTGAAGCCTTAGCCATTTTCTTAGATACTTTAAAGTGGAAGGTTTGAAGTTGCCCAAAGAACTCTTGCTAGAGATACTCCAAATAGCCAAAACATTTAGCAGAAGCTCCATTGCTTCCATCTACCCCACAAAAGACAATGGCAGAAAATTATCAGAAAACTTTAAGATTCCATCAAACAAGACTTTTATAGTCAAGAGTCAACCTAGTACTAAATCGGAGAACCAAGCAATCCTATAAACTTTGGAAGTGTTACAAGAGATGAGTTAGAAAGTCCAAGGGATGATTTTGGTGTTTAATTTTTTTGGTTAATTTATTAAAGGATAATTGCTGATGATGACTAGTAAGCTAAACTTTCATTTTTGAGGTTTGCCTGTGCATCTTGCCAATGTTCATAATGGCATTGGGAAGCCACAGGCCCCCATTCAACATCTGGACAACCCTTATGCTTAGAAAATTCTTTATGATGAATTGAAAACTGTCTCCCTATAGCTTTCACTTATGGGTTAACAAAAACTTTTTGGTTTGTACTGGTAAAAAAAATTTTTGAGCCACACAGAAAAAGCCTAATCCTGCTTTCCTACAGTAGCTCTCTACATACTTGAAAACAGTTATTATGGCCACCAGAGTCTTTTTTTTTTTTCTAGTGGAAATACCTTTAAATATTTTGGTGATTGCTGAAAAAATTTGGTTTCAAAGCCCTTCATCATCCTGATTATTTTCTATTCAGATCACTTCTGTTTGTCTACACCCTTTCACAATGTGGAGCTCCAAAATGAACATAATACATAATTGTTTAATCAGCATAAAGTAGATCCCACATGTCTGTTTAAATAGCTCAAGAATGCAGTAGATTTGGGGGTCAACAACATTCTGTGTTGATACATACAGAGCTTACTATAAAAGACAATTTCCAAATCTTTTCAGATGCCTCTATACCATGGCTTTATTATCCTATACTTATGGAGCTATAATTTTGGACCTTTATACTTTTTCCATAATAAAACTTTATCTCTAAGATACTTGATGCCCAATACTTGACTGTTGTAAACTTTTGGTCATCCAATGTATTTGTAGTTTTTCCAAGGTTTATGGCATCTACATATCTAATAAAAATGGCAACCGTATTTTTATCCAAGTTGTTGATGAAATAATCTACATAGGACAGGGCCAATGATGCAGTGATGTGGTGCATTACCAAAGGTGTAGCTGCAATTTGCTTTCCATCTTTTAACAGTGTAATCTGAAAAAGGTTGTTCAGTCAGTGATAAATCCACCTGTCCATATTTCTTCAATTTGTAAACAAGGTACAAAGGGCCATTTTTAGTGAATGCTGAAGATCACATATACAATTTCTATTACATTTCCTGATTTCTAAATCCAGCAATATTGTACGTGTCCCCCACCCGCAATGGTGTGATAGCATCATTGATCCCAAGTTGACTCCTAGAGATCACCAGTTTCTATTTTAAGTACTTACAAACCATTCTTGGCAGCACTGTAAATGTTGGAAAACATTCTCTATATCTGGATTATTAAAGATCAGGAAATATATGAAAACTGACTTCAGAAAGTGGTTTTTAAATAGGCATAACATAAAATTTATGGTCAGACTTTAGATAATTCAGACAAAATTTTAGCAACAAAGACTGCAACAAATTTAAAACCTAGTTGTCTAACAAAAGATTAAATTCAGAATACCAAGCCAGTAACCTCATCAAATCTTGGCTAAAGCAACACAAGATGGAAAAGTCCATAGGGATCTCTATTAGGGAGGCACAGTCAGAAACATGGAAAAACTAAGCAACCAAGACTTATCAGTAATAGTATCTACATATGGCCAATTATCCCAGGATCATGGCTTAAGAGGTAGGGACAGGTCAGCCATTGCTGAAAACTCTTATGAAGTTTTCCCTGCAACCTTGACTAGAACATATTAAGATCAGAGCCATGTTTGTATATCAACCCTAGGACAAGCAGTGCCAGAAGTTGAGAAAAGATGAATGCTATGGTTTTTCTTTTTAGTTTTGAGATGAAGATATTTTCAAAAAACAATAAGACTTTTTAACATTAAGATTATCCTCTCCAATAAATCACTTTTGATCATTAAATTTTTCTAAGATATATGTCAGGACTGTACTAATGAACATTTCCTATATGAAGATGTTCAACTAATTATAAAGCAAATTAAAGAAGTAAGAACATTTTTAATAATTACTATGCTCCAAACCTTTGTTGTTAGTCTTGATACAGTTGATTCTTCCTTGAATGTGGGCATTGTATATGCTCTTGGGTTCTTTAAAATTTTTGTCATATTGAAGTCTATAGCTAAAAGAGAAGACAAAATATTTTCTTAAATTCTGGCTTTTTTTTCCTTTACAAAAAGGCATAATACTTTTTTCTTTTAGCAATGTACTCTAAACATGGGAAGAACCAAAAATGGATGAGATCGAGGTTAAGATATTGTTATAGCTTGCATCAGTTAGAGGAAATAAATATACCATCTCATTTTTACTTAACAAGGCTTTAGAATTGATAAAACTCATTTACTTATAGTATATCATATTACTGTCACAAACATTCTGTGAGCTAAGTAAGATTTTCCACAATTTACAGGTGATAGAACTAAGTGTAGGAAATTGTATGACTCTAAGCTATACCTCTAAGGTATCATTTAAGACACAGGCCTAGGTCTTTTGCTTCAGAGCCCAGAGCTTTGTCCACGACCCTCTAGTTTAATGCAATAGGAGGGTTGGGCCTCTGCATGTTAGGGTCCACCTTTTCCATATACTGGCAACAAACCCAAATAAGGAAAGACTTGGTAAATTTTCCCTGCAAGCAGCATGAATATACATGAAGGTAACAAGGGAATCTTGCCATGTCTAAAAGAAAAGGAGAACTGTATGGTTTAATTGGTATGTCAATCAGCCTAAAAGAACAAGCTAGTTATTAAGCATACTTAATACAGAGCAGAGAAAACAGGTAATCTGAGGTTTGTACTAGATTGTGGCACTGATTATTATTATCAAGTACCAGGTAGACTAATTGGATCTACAGGTTGTAATGTTGATGATAAAGCTCTGAAGAGTTAAGGAAAGTCACTCAGATTGATTTTTGACACTAGACATTCAAAGGTATTAGATACAAATCTGAAATGCTAGAGGCAAGTAGACATTTATCTCCGACAAAGGAAAGAATTGGTTAGGAACCTGAATTTTAAAATTTTGAGTGGAACCAAGGTTATATTAAGTTGAAGTTAGAATGCGCAAGAAAGGTAATAAACCATATGATTTATTTTTTTTAACACATGCTCAAAAACAAACAATCTCTTATAGAGGGGCATCTGGCAATATCTACAAAAATACAGACGTATTTTCTCTTTTACCCAGCAATACCTCTTCTGAGACTATATCCTATACAATCTCCTATGTAAGTATGAGAGAACACAAGTACAAGTGTATTGATTGTGGCATAACTTATAAAATTTAGGCATTATAAACAACCCATGTATTTAATAGTAGTCAAGTACTAGTTAAAAAAACTGACGCACCCAATTTGATGGAAAACTATGCAGCTATAAGAAGAAATGAGGAAGATCCCTATACTGATTTGAAGAGATCTACAGGTCATATCATTAAGTGATGAAAGCAAGGTACAGGACAGAGTATATAATTTAATTGAATATATACAGTGTGCTAACTTTAGTATAAGAATATATTTCATTTGCCTTTATTTGTATAAAGAAACACTGGCAAGATAAGTAAAAAAACCAACAAAAATATTCTCTGGGAGGAATAATTAAAAAAATAAAACTTGCTCATTTTGAATCATTCTTAAATACATATTTAGGTAATATTACTTAATTTCTGGTCTCTATGAACAGACATAATATTAAGAGGACTTCTACTTCATGTTCACTGTACCTACAAAAAACCCCTTACTTTTCAGAATATTTAACGCTGGTTGTAAAATCAGTCAATAGAAGGTCATATACATTAATATCAGGCAAAAATCCCCAGCTGGAAGTAATGGCAAAAGACAAAAAAGTAAGAGATACATAAAAAACACAAAGCAAGGAAATTTTTGGAGTAAAAGTTTCAAAGAAAAAATTTACAAAAAAAATCCTACAAAAAAGAAAAACCCCACCCAGATATGATAAGAGTAATAGTAATCTTAAAAATGACTATATTTATTAGCTTTTTTCTCCTATAGTCCCCTAATCCATAATTTATTTTAGGTGGGAATATCAATTTTCCCCCAATTACAGTTTTCATATATCCTCTGTTCTCATATCCTTAAAGGCTTGAGAACAAGATCATCTGAAAAACCAAAAGTGATTCTATTTGATAAAACCATAAAAAAATATGTCTCAGGGCACCTCAGTGGCTCAGTTGGTTAAGTGTCTGACTCCTAATTTCAGCTCAGATCATGATCTCAGGGTTGTGAGATGGAGCCCCATGTTGGGCTCCATGCTGGGTGTGGAGCCTGCTTAAGATTCTCTCTCTCCCTCTCCCTCTGCAGCCCCTTACCTCCACTCTCTTTCTCTCTCTCTCAAAAAAAGTCTCAACTGTTCTTACTAGGCTTCAGAAATTTCACTAGTGACAAAATATTCTACTCTTACTCCACCTACATTGGAAAAAATTCATTTTCATAATTATAATTATCCCCTTTTTATTTTAGGGATTTTTTTAAAAAAAGATTTATTTATTTATTTGAGAGAGGGAGAGAAAGAAAGAGAGGAGCACACACAAGTAGGGGGAGGGGAAGATGGAGAGAATCTCCAAACAGACTCCCTGCTGAGCATAGAGCCTGACACAGGGCTCTATCTCACAACCCATGAGATCACAACCCGAGCCAAAACAAAGAGTTGGACAGTTAACCGACTGAGTCTTCCAGGTGCCCGCTCCTATTTTAGGGATGTTTAAAAGGGAGACACTTATGCAAGTAAGTATGGTTATCTCTATCCACTTTTGTAATTTTCACTAATAGTCTTTCTGAGATGCAAATAACATATATCGGCAAAATTAAACTTCATACAGGCCATACATATTAATACAATTATTAAATAAACTATAGAAACAGAAGAAGTGTTACTCAGAGACTCATTTCAGAATATATCTAACTTAAATTAGAATTACTCTTAGAAAGGGACTTTTTCTAGTACTGAAGTATAAGGGGAAACAAAGGAAAGAGAAAACACAGGTAGTCATTCTGCAAAATATATGTGATCTGAGCAAATAAGAAATAAAACAAACATAATTTGGTTTCAGTAATATAGGAAAATGATACAATTATTTTGAAAAAAGTATTGCATACCCATGAATATGTTCTTTTTTTTTTTAAGATTTTATTTATTCATTTCAGACACAGAGATACAGAGAGAGAGAGAGAGAGAGAGCATGAGCAGGGGGAGAGGCAGAGGGAGAAGCGGGCTCCACGCTGAGCCAGGAGCCTGACGTGGGGCTTGATCCCAGGACCCTGGGATCATGATCTGAGCCACAGGCAGATGCTTAACCATCTGAGCCACCCAGGTCCCTGAATATGTTCTGTCTTATTGCATATATTTTCTTATCATGCTTCCCAGATTTTTTCAGATCCTTATACATATACTTCCCCAAGTCCCTTCAATCTTAGCATTTGCAGACCCAATGATAGGTTTGTTTACATATTAGACCTCAAACAAGTTACATCTGTCTACATAGCTATATGCAGAACCATTCTCCCATCTCTCTATACGCAATTTGTTTTAAATTAGCAAAATGAAGCATTAAGGACTTCTTCACAATGCTCTAAGGTACAATTAAATTTCTTCTCCTAGTAATGTTAACATAACATATATAATTGCGAATAATCTCACAGAGACATTAGAGAGTTTAAGTGCTTACAAATGTACTTTGTTAACTATGAAGTGCTATATGTATGTAAGGTAGCACTAGCATCCTTGGGTTCACCAACTTTGAGCTAAATTTAATATGTTCAAGACACGAAGATTTTATGTGTAATAAGATAGTGATCCATATCACATTAGTTTCCCAAGGAAAATACAATATTATTACTTTATTTTGGCTTGGGAGTTTACTTCTTTCTATTACTTTTTTTTTTTTTTTAAGAGAGAAAGAGAGAGATAGCAGGAGAGAGAGGGAGAGAGAATCTGAAGCAGACTCTGCCCTGAGCATAGAGCCTGATGCAGGGCTTCCTCCCATGACTGCAAGATCATGACCTGACCCCACACCGAGAGTCAGATGCTCAATTGATTGAGCCACCCAGATGCCCCTCTATTACTTCTTACTATGAATTATATCTGTGTCTTTAAGGACAAAATCATTGCTTAGACAAGTTATAGGGGCAATGTGAACAGTTTTTAAATATTTCTATGGTTTTGTACAAAGAACTAAGTGACAAGTATCTGAAATAAGGAACTAGTATATTTATGAACTAAGGCTCTATGGAGCCAAACATTACAAATCTAAACCAAAATAGCTTTTAAGCTTGACTTGATCAAAGGTGTTTTGGAAGGAAACTAGACCCATTTTAACTCTTTCCTGTAGAATGGAAAACATTTAAAAAAACTAACCACTAAATGGGTTCTGAAGCAAAAATTAGAACATATTGTCTGGGAAACTCTTTTTTCCTGTATCATATGTAAATTTATCTACATAAGAACTTTTAAAAAGATATAAAAATTAAGACTAATTTCATTGTACATGGTAACACAAAATATAATTGCTAAAAATAGTAAAATTGAAAGGAATTGGGATTACCTTTATTTTATAACCAAGCCTTGACAGTCTTGCCTGGTGTCATAAAAATTCTTTACATTCTTCAGATTAGTGATTATATGAACTTATTATTGATGGGGTGTAAGTTGAAACTATGTTCCCACCATTCCACATCCTAAAATGTTCTATAAAAGAGAAGGCTAGGGCACAGACTTTCGTGGCCACTACTCTGAGGACCCATCTCTTGAAAACCTGGTTCTGGTAGCCAGCAAGGTTTGTGTTCATGGGTTCTATAGGACAGTAGCAAACAAAGAAACAGCTCTGAATTGGCTATCACCCCAGGGCTCAACGCAGAGAAACAGACAGAAATGTCCATCTCCTAATCTTCTCCTGAAAGACATATATTTGCATATTTTCAAAGCTACTTCCTGAGGGTCTGGCTTCCACTCAGCCTGAGTCTAAATATTGACTGAGATCCTTCCCTTTGGGATACTGACAGTTCTTGACACACCCTCAACTACTAGGAGCCACTAAGAACAAAGTAGGCTGCTTTAGCAAATTACAAAGATTTGAGAAAAACCAAGAGGTAGGGCAGGGTTGAATG